ATAGCGTGACTCACTGGAAGCGAGGTAAGACACAAGTCCAGCTATATCCTCAGGTTGCCCTATGTAGTCCAATGCTGATCGGCCCACGTTCTTTCCTCGTTGTCAGCCAGGCGATCCACAACTGCGGTGGAAACGTACCATCTTAATCAACTCGTTCACATCTCCTTGTTGGAGTGCTGCATCTCTGCCTAGTACGATATGAGCCGCGACGGGCGAGTTGCAGATGTATAACACATACACATTTCAGTATCGACTGCGCCTACACATTGGGATGAATAAGCGATCCGCGGCGCCGCAAATGCCGAGAGATACAATCACCTGGCGTGTACACATTGACAGTGATCCCAAACTTTCCCAGATCGAGGGCTATTTTGGAGAGGAAACAATGAAGAACGAGTTGAATAATGGCCGTTAACCACGTACCGGCTCCCTGGGTAAGTCTCCGAACAGCCAACTTCGTCGCACCATACAGTGACATCATTGGTAAGCCTGCCCTTGTCCAACATGATGTTCCAGAGGAAGTTTCGACACAGACCTTGCTTTCCAGCCAAAGAGGAGCACCCAATGATCCATTGAAGAGGTTTTGTGTGTGTGCAAGGTGGAAACTGATACAACAAAGCACTATCCACTGATCACACTCACACTAACACACCCACAATATTCTTAGTTTGTTGGAGGATTATAATGTAATAAGAGTAGTAATAGCAAATGTAATTGTATTCTCAATGATCCAATGTGCATGAATAGCAATAGTGCACATATAACAGTCCTAGATCTCTCTAGAGAACATAACAATTGTGACTAACTCCAGACATGTGTTATGATTTTTACTTATTTCTATCTTTTTATTTGAAGGATTGACCCCTATCTCATTTAGTCAGGTGTCTAAGCCAGCACTTAAGACCATAGGACAAAGGCTTAGTCATCACAACAGCCAAGTCCATCATTGTCTTTTGATGCAACAGCATAACCCAATGACACACAAAGACTCTTTTATGTACAGTAGCAATGCCCAAGAACAATGGGCACAAAGGACTTGACAATGCACAAAAGGAAGTAGTATAATTAGTTATAACTTGTACAGTATTTAAGCAGGCTCACTCTCACTGGTATCCCTCAGCTTCAAGCTAAAGTTTATTTTCACACCATCCTATACTTGAGCCAATCCTAAAGGCCTTGTGACACACTGATCAGAATATGCACCAGTGAACTCAGACAATCTCCCAAAGTGTGAGGAGACTTCTGTTTATCACATGTTTCTGTTCACATGACACTTGAGTCTAACAATATGAAGGACAGCCCTGGTGGCCTGGAAAAGGTCCTGGTGGTGGCAGAATAATCCTGAGGAGATAAGAAAGTAAAGAGACTTGTGCCTAAGCCACTAAAAGAGCTAATCAATGTCCAGTTGCATAGAAACAGAGGATGTAATCCTAACCCAGAGTGGAATATACATGTCAGACAGTGACATGCACAGGAATGACTCATGAGAGACTTCAGAATGGAGTCCCATGCATTGAAACTATTATATTAGGTGTCTCTTAGTGAGTACAGTAGTAGCTTATTTAAATACAGCATTGTAAAATTAGTGGACAAGTTTTCAACCCCTCACAGTTACAGTGTATAGGGCATAAAAGCCTTGTACTCCAGCTCTGGGTTTGTGTTTGTAACTTCAGATGAGAGAATAGACCCATTGTTGATATTATTAAGAGAGATCTGAGAACTGTGTGAGATACAAAAGCTTGCATAGGACTCTAATTCAATTTAATAAGAGGTTTTGAATTGCACTCTAGCCTAAGAATAAGAGAGCAGTGTCTGAAGGGCACTATTTTGAGTTTTTGAGGTATTTGTGATATGAGGCACTACAGGTGGCAGAGGTTTGAACCCTTTGGCTTGATTAGTGCTTGATCTTTGGGTTATTTCCACAAGTTGGCAGAGGTTCAAACTCTTTAGCCTGTGGATGGGATTGTTTATGTTATTTCTGCAGATTGGCAGAGGTTCAAACTCTTTGGATCTGTGGATGGAGTTTTATTGCATTTTTGTGTCTCTGAATTGCATAGGTTTAAATCCTGTGGGTCTATAATCAGTTTGAAAACTTGTGCACAGAGGTTTGAACCCTTTGGCACCTGTGGATATGTGTTTTAGAGATTTTGAGTTGATCTGAGCAGTGCTTGAGACTTTTGAGATCTTTGTAAGAGTGTTTCAGAGTATTGTATTAAGCTACAGTATCCTTGCCTTGAGGCCTGGCAATGTTCATTGCCTCCTCTTTTTTTTAAACAAAAAGCATTGAGACTTAGAGAGATCTAAGACTGTTATACATGCACTATTGCTATTCATGCACAGTGGATCATTGAGGAGACAATTACATTTGCTATTACTACTCTTATCACATTATAATCCTCCAACAAACTAAGAATGTTGTGTGTATATTAGTGTGAGTGTGATCAGTGGATAGTGCTTTGTTGTATCAGTTTCCATCTTGCATACACACAAAATCTCTTTAACATCATCTGAAAAGATGGCTGGCTGATCAGTGTCTCTTTCTGATGATCTCTTTCTCTATATCCTTCAGCTTTGCAATCTTCTCTAGTAGTGAGAGGTCATTCATAATGACATCAAACCTGTTGTCTGCTAATTGAAAAGCAATTGCTATCCCAATACCTTGGGCAGCTCTAGTAATAACTGCAATGCCTTTCATTGATGACATGACTGATAGAAATAAGAGTTAAAAGGCTGAGGTTAAAGAAAGATCATTCAATACTCACATAATTATAAGGTGTCAGAGTTTGAGGAATTCTGGAACATCACTTTCTTAGCTCAGTAGATAAAAGCCCTCAAACAATCAGAAGTTACTTTCCAGATGAGATCTGAGTCAACTTCTTTTTGGAACCCTATAGAGTTAAACACTACTGAATTAAGAAAATCAGAGCCACTAAATTCTAAATTGTTGACATAGCTGACTAGAGTGATTTTGCTTCATGCCTTTGATGCTTTCAATCTATGGCTCCTATCTCTCACTATCTCTCTATGATGGTCTTAATTCTTGTACCTGCTTTATCTGTTTTAGCTATTTTTCATCAGAACACTACTACAATATATAGTGCTCAAGAGCAGAATCAGCTGGTTGACTGCTCAACAATATGTTTAATATTGCCTAAGATGTCCTCTGAGTCAGACAGTGGTATTAGAACAATCTAAAAGGATTATCTGTTGCAGATATTCAGTCAAACTCTAGAACCACAGACAGAAGAAATGAGTGACAAGACAGACAAAATTTAGTTGCTGTTGCCAGTGAATGAGCAGCCTTTTTCTTCTCTACTGATAATCTTGTGATGTCCATCAAATTTCAAAAGAGTGTCAGGCCATGTTCAAACTCTGATTGTGACAGATCATTGAAAAAAAAGCAAGCTCTTATATGAAAGCACTGAGGCAAGAAATGAGAGTGAAGGGGTTAAGAAATGTCAGTAGAGTACTCAAAAAACATAAGACTGTCTAAATATATTGCTCAGTAAGGATAAGATGCTAAAGGTCAAAGACAGAGAACTGTATATGTGCAGAAAAGAGTCAAACTAGTAAAGAATGCAAAAAAACCTTTCAATACTGTAACCATAGACATGTGATCTCTATATCATGTGATAATAGCAGAAAATAGAAGTTAGCTAGACTATATATGATTGGTCATATATGAGAAATAATAACCCACATGAAAAGGATATGTATGGTGAGTCAGAAAAGGTTTCAGTGAAAGTGAGTAAGACTCTCAGATATAGATGATCTAATCTTATTTCTGACTTGACTTTCTACCATCACCAATTTTGTTCATCCAACACTGACTTGTACACTATTATATTCTCCTGCCTATCACTGCTTGTAGAAGTATGATGTGGCTATATAGTGAAAAATGCACTATTATGAAAGTCAAGAAAAGGGAAAAGTGAATTGGTCAAAGACCTTTGATCAAGGTCTATGCCATGAGCCAGCCATTGTCCTTTATAACAAGTCTGCCACTAGGTTACTGATTTATGCCACTCAGCTCACTCATACAAATGAGCTCTTCTCTACAACTTCTCTCATGTTCTTTCATCATTATCATCATCATCTCATCACAGCTTGATTGTCTCTGAGCATCAGCATTACTTTTCACACTGGTTCTTGATTAGTTCAATAGCCTTTGAGCATTGGCTGTCACTTCTGGACACCATTGCTTCACTAGTGTACACTTGTGTTATTAAGTCCAAAGGCTTTGCCATTTACTGGAAGAATGGCAAGTTTATATCTCATCCCAAGATTCCTTTAGAATCCCTCAAAGCACTGGATGCAAACCCAGCTTCAACACCACCAGCTTCAGCAACCTCACTGGAACTCTCTCTTTACACAGCTGCCTGGTGTGAGCTGCTTGATTCATTATACAATCCCAATTATTTTTTTGACATTATCTCCTTCACCTCCTCTGGATCCTAAAATTCCACCATATCCAGCACTGCTGACTCTATAGAACCTTTCAGTTTAAGTCCTCCAGCTCTGATTCAGCCTACATACACCCAAGAACAAGTTATGCAGACACTCAGCACTTTGCTGTCACACATAACTGTCTAACAACCCATTCAACCAGCTCCTAACCCCCAGCCTACTGCCTCAGCATTTATTGCTGCTCTAGTCTCTGAATGTAAGTCTCTTTTTGCTGCCTTTCTTTGTCTCAAGCCAGACATGCTGCTGCATGTGACTTGCCAGGAGTTGATCTCAATGGACATACACAAGCTTGATTCCAAGCTGAGGAGGAAGACTATTGATGAAGGCACTCTTGCAGGTCTTAACTCTTAGAGTGGCTCCACCAAGAATTACCCCTCTCTCTCAGCCTTTACCATTCCTCTCATGGTCTACTTTTAAATTCTCATCTATTTCACTATCTCTGAAAAGCAAATCAATGTAGTCTTCACACTTGCTATGAGAATGATGTAATACTTTGGTTATCTGCATGAGCTCAGTACTTGCTACAAATGGGATGCAGTACTAGCATACCATATGACTTACTATGCAGAGTGTCATCATGAGATAATGGCTAACAATTATGTGGGCTGGGATAAGCTTAGCAATCAGCTGATTAGTAAGTTCCTCAGTATCCCAGAAAACTGGCACTTCCTCTGCTATCCTATTGAAAACCAAGAAAATGACCATAGAGCAGCAGATCTGCTTTATGTTCAATAACAGTGATTGCAAATACAACTCTTGTTGATGAATGCATGTCTATTCCACTTGCCAGTCAAAGGATCATCCTAGCAAGTCCTGCACAAATAAGGATAAATGATGTTGAGACAGAGTGAGTCAGGATCAATGCTGTTCTCACTGCACTGCTGCTTGCTCTTGCCAGCAGCTTTCTGTAGGTTATAACTCATCTTCAGTTCCTCTTACTATTTCACCCACTTTATTCATTCCTAGTTCTTCCATGTACTTTCCACCATCTTCTATTCCTCCTTCTAGATTAAATACATCACCATGTTGTAACTCCCTATCAAATGAGTCTGAATTGTCACCACAAGTCTCTTCTCCACTTAATCTTGAAGCTTGGCAATACTATCTTCAAGATTATCCTGATTGTAAATTTGTTTCTAGTCTATTACATATTATTAAATACAGTGCAAATATTGGTTTCATCAGTCATCAACATCTTCAATTATCCTACAATCTTAAATCTACTGCCACCCATGCATCTTTCATTGATGAAACTATTGACTCTCTCATTAAGAATGGTCAACTGGCTGGACCATTTCAGCAACTATCTCATTCTCACCTCTGGGCATTGCCACTAGGTGTTGTGTCAAAGAAACACAATCCTGCCAAACTCTATATTATAAATCACTTGTCATGGCCCAAAGAGGGCTCCATGAGTGATGGCATTCATGAATCTGAGGTTCAGATTGTGTATGATCACTTTGATCAAGCTGTGGATGATCTTCTAGTCTCTAGGATGAGGTCTCATTTGGCTAAACTTGATCTTAAAGATGCTTTCTAGCATATTCTACTCCAAGTTGAAGACAGACATCTTATAAGCTATGAATATGAGGTAGCTTCTTCTATTCACTGGTTCTAGTCTTCAGGTTGAGCTCTGCTCTCTATATATTTAATCTCTTCACTGAGACTTTACACTGGATAGTTTAACACCACATACCTGCTGCAGTTCATCATCATTTAAATGATTTTCTCTTGACATTTTCTCTATCAACCCTCACACCAGTTTGCTTTGCTGCTGTTGACTGGGTCATGATGCTGAGAAAGGAACTGGGCATTAATTTCCAACCATCAAAGACAGAATAGTCTAATCACATCATTGAATTTTTGGAGATCATGCTGGACTCTATCTGCATGAAGGTATGATTGCCTATTGATAAGCTTACATATCTGAATGAGCTTCTTAGCTCTTAGCAAGAAAGGAAGAACCGCTTCCTCTGTGAAGTTTATGAACTGTCAGGGTTTCTTCAGTTCTGCTTTCAGGCTATTCTATCTTCTTGCCCTTTCCTGTGCAAGATTTATGATCTGACATCAAAATTAAAGTTGCCATTCTTAGTACTTCAGATTCCCAAGGGTGTTGCTTCTGACATTGCCTGGTGGACTGTCTTCAGTATGCACTAGAATGGTGTTTGACTGCTTCAACCAAGTCAATCTATAGTGGATATCTTTACAGATGCTAGTGGATGCAAAGGGCTGCAGAGTATTTCTGGAGTAAATTGGTTTTCTGCATGGATGTGCATCTTTGATCAATGTGATTAGAATTGCCAATCATACTTCAATCATATTCTTTTTATTTTTAGGATGTCTTCTTATAATGATATTAGCATGGCTAGAGCCAAGTGCTGGAATCTCATATATAGTCTAACTTCCCTGGTATTAGTCTATCACTAGGCCATGCACTCTTCTCATTGTTACTTCAGTTTAGCATTATAACAGCTATATTTCTTTGCACTTTAGCCTTATTCTCAGTTTACATACTTAGTAGACTGGAATGCAATCTATATATTCTCAAATTTCACAAATTTACATGCCTGAACATGGAGAGAGTATGTCAGTAGATATCTTGATAACAGACAATGCATTATTATATTATCCCTGACAACCAGAGGTGATGAGTACTATAACACAGAAATATACAATTAGTAGGACTATAATTATCCACAGATGAACAGTATATAATTAGCATAGCTCTTGCTGTAGATACTCAGCTTCAAGCTAAAGTTTATTCTATATCATCTTCTCTTGAGCTGACTTGTCTCTGGCCTTGAAGCACTTCATCTATATAACATATATAATGAACTCAGGCATGACTGTACAAACATGATACAGTGCTTGTTTATCATGTGTTTAAGTCATATGCACTTTGAGTCTAACAATTAGCTTGAAGCTCTAAGCTTCTCTTTTCATATGCACACTAGCATGAAGAAAACTGAATGCCATCAACTGATGAAATCACTGCTAGCTTCTTGAAGATCTTAGGTGCCATCATCAGCATCTTACTAGGACTATTTGCAGTAGTCATCCTCTGTTGAGAAAACCAATCTATGACTGCCTGGATAATCAAATACTACCAAGCTCTTAGAACTATTCATTGAACTCTACAAAATGTCTCACTCATTCTCTCCTCCCATGATCTTCTACCAGAATCTCTCTGAGCCTCTGACAAGCTTGAGAAAGAAACTGTGCTAGAATCCATCATTAAGTTTTCATCTAGGAGAGCTCTTCTAGAAGAGTAGGAAGAAAATTGATACCCTCTAAGATCTCCCCAATGATCTCAGCATTCAAATAAAAACTACATCCTGATGCACCTCCATCTAATCTCAGACTATGAGGATAAGGACATTCTCAATAACTTCTTTAATGCTGTACCAACTTCTGATGCTTCCACTGCCACTTTTGAGCACAGAATTGGAAGTCATGCTCAAGACTCCCTTGATGCCTCCAGAGTGGCTTCAGTCCATGATTCTCTCTACATAATTCTGGAAGACCAGAACATCCTGCTCCATCTGACAGTCAGAAGTAACTCAACTGAAAACATCCAAATTGATGAAGAGGCACTGGAGGAGAGTGACTCAAAAGCCCTGGTTTACCTCCTCTAAGAATATCCAGAAGCTGCCAACTTCACACTCCCTACCTACAATTGGTACAGAAACCAAATTCCTGCAGACCCCAATGACTAAACCAGTGAAGCCTCCTGAGAGTGATACTTCACTAAAGAAGAGTACCAGAATCAGAAACTCACTCAGACAGACTGAGACATTGCCTCTTGGGCATGAAGACATGGACTTATTGACAAAATACAACTCTCTCCATACTCAGAATCTAGCTGGCCTGAGAGTGAGCTCTATGCCAGCCTTATTGATATACCTCTTTCCTGAACTCCCAACACTCCTCTTTTTACCTATGGAATCCAGCTCCCTCTCCAGTCAAGGTTTGTGATGCCATTCTCAGATGATTTCTTCAGAGCCCAGTTGCTTGACTATTCCTCAATTCCATCTTCTATCAGCAGGTCTGCCAGTGTAGCATGGGACTGAAGAAAGGAGACAGCTCAGATAAAGGAAGAGATAACTCTCAACTACCTCAACATCTCCCTGCTCCTAGACTCAGAACTTCTGACATCAGCACACTCAGATCTAGCAGAGGCCAAGGACAACTCTCTGGCAACATGAGGCCAGGCTCACCATCTATTTATGATCAGCCTGCTGACTTTTCCAAAAGAGTCAAGAGAGAGATGGATCAGGATTGGCTTGAGAAAGCCATGCACCAGAAGAAGATAAAAGAGTTTAATCATCTTTATCAGTAGCAGTTGATGAAAATCCCATGGGACATCAGATGGAGGGTTATCTCTCTCAGAAGAAAGTATTTAATTATGAATGATTAAGAACAAATTGACATTTTACAGTATTGTGCTACAGAGTCAGCCATATATGTGTACAACACTACCTATCTGAAAGAACCAATATCTAACTTACCACTGTACTGATCTAAGTTCAATATCCAGCCAATGCTAATAATGCTCTCTATACATCTATAATGAGCTGTCTGCATGGTACCCTCTATTTGAATGACCTCTACCAAGATCTTATGACTATAACCCAGATCCACTGAAAAGCTGACAATGACCCAATATTCCTAGAGAGGTAGAGATAGCTGGCTTCTTGCTAGACAACCACCATCTGATAAAGCTGAGACCAGTAGATAAGCCAAAGGAGATGACCTGAAAGCTATCAAATTAGGATTCACTATCAAGAATGGACAGATCATATGAAAGGAATCAGCCCAACTGGCTGAGAGTCTGATTGCAGATGATTGCTTCCTGCACTCATTTCTCAGACCTCCTCAAGAATAGAGCCATCCACCCTTCAATCACTATCTGAACATAATGGGGTCACTTGCTATAGACTCTACTCTTATCCAGTGTAAACCTGATCTTGTCTGAAAGCTGTGCCTCTTTAAGGATGCAGCTGATGACATTGACTGCTTCCTCACCAACTGCAAGCAATGCTTTGAAGTGTATTCTGCCTACTTAACAGTGAATATCTATTAGGTCACATTTGCTGCTGACATATCCTCTCCTTATTCAGGCATGTAAATTTGTGAAATTTGAGAATACATAGACTGCATTCCAGTCTACTAATCATGTAAACTGAGAATAAGACTAGAGTGCAAAGAAATATAGCTGTTATGATGCTAAACTAAAGTAACAATAAGGAGAGTGCATGGTCTAGTAATAGACTAATACCAGAGAGGTTAGACTACATGTGAGATCTCAGCACTTGGCTTTAGACATGCTAATATCATTATAAGAAGACATCCTAAAAATAAAAAGAATATGATTGAAATATGATTAGCAATTCTGATTACATTGATCAAGGATGCACATCCATTGATGTACTGATAGGACACATCTTAGAACAGAGAATTGAGATCCAAAGAAAAGTATCTAAATAACTGAGTGTTGAACAGAGAAATAGAATGATGACAACAAAGTAATAAAGAGAGAAATATTACCAAAGGGATGAGTAGCATGCATACTACTCAGAGACTTGCACATGTAATTACAGTGCCTTAGCATGCATAACACTGTGAGAGACTCTGCATCATATCCATTAGATGCATTAATTGATGCATACTAGACCAGAAGTGATGCATATTGTGAGTCAAATAGAATGTGTAGACACTGGAAAGAGAACATAGTCATTGTATCTGACTCCAGACATGAGAGATAACCTTGGGGGTCTGGAATAGTTCTCTGGTGTCAGAGATGCATCACTGAAGAGATAAGAAAGCAAAGAGACCTGGCTAGGCCAGCTAG